TGCACATGCACTAAAGAAAGCAGGAAAAACTCAGAGGGGCTGAACCCGGTATCAGCACTTGGGCTTGGATGTCGCAGATACTGCTTCTGCTCACAGATCAAAGGCAAGAGTGGGTCACGACAACCTTTCCAACAGCAAGTGCCCCCAGTAATAGTGTCCCAGGAGCCCAGGAAGGAGAGGAAGACAAGGTACACATGGGAACTTGGGGTTCCCCCCTAAATTGTTCCACACAAGGAGCTCAAGAGAACGCCACTGACAGCCACCCTCTATTTCCTGGCCGAGACTCTGAGCAAGCCATATCACCTTGTAGGATTTTTAAAAATTCTATTCAGGTCCTACTATGTGCACATCGCATCTAACACCGACTCATATCAAACTTTCAAGACGATGCTGTAAAGTACCAGTAGAAAGGGCTCGCCTTCTTCACTGCTCAGACCTGTGCAATGACGTCTGAATTACTATTGGGAGTACAATTTTCATTTTTCTGCTTGGTGCCTGGTCAAAATCTGTGCATTTCTGCCCCCTTCAAGGTGAAGGGGCATTCAGACACTCCTACGCTCCTTGGTTTGCACAAGGGCAAACCAAGATTTTTTCCTGGGCCAAGTAGCGAGGCAGGAAGCAGAAGAGGATTTTGAGTTATTTCCATCATTACAAACCAAATATAGCTTGGATATCAATAAACATTTTCACCTCGTGGAAGGACTACATGGATTTTAGGAAATTAGTCCCCAATAGAGTTTGCTATGCAATGATTTCCAATGTCTTTGATCTTTTCTCAAGTGTCACTTTTGGGGGAGGATTTGGTCATTAACCACCTAGGTAAGCCCACACCTCAACAGATTTAGTAGCCAACCTCTAACACTCCACCCACCAAAAAAAGGCTCATAAAAGTTGTACTGCAGATATCAGAGTGGTTTCAGAACTCCTTTTCCAAGTTGAGGGCCACAGATTTCAAATTAGTAGTTTCTATGACAAATAAGACCATACTCACCAGATTTTTGGGAAAAAGGTCTTGAGAATGTGGTGGGTGACCAGGGCTAGATTTCAGCATTAAGATCACCTGTCATGTGGAAGAGGATTTTGCAATCACAGGGGTACACAGTGAGGCAGGGGCCCATCAAGGAAGTGGAGGGCAGTGAATCAGGGGGAGGCCAGGTGATGTTTGTCTCTGTTTCTTCTGGGAGTAAGATGAGCTTTCAGTGGAGCAGTGAGGTGATGGTCCACAAGTCTGGACAAATGGACTTCTGGAGATGACCTACTAGAAGGCCACTGTAATGCACAAGGTGGGTAGGCTGGACATAACTGACAACACACAGACTGGAGTCATCTCTCAAGAAATCCAGGTCTATGGATTGAAGACTTTAAGTACCAGAAAATCTAGAAGTTGTGTTTTTCATTTCAAGACTTTTATTTCAATCTAAACTTATTTCCATTTCAATTTATTTCAAGAAAATTATTTCTTATTTTGAGGTAAAATTCCAGGTTCCTGGCTGAATTATTTTTCTTTTGTATGCCTGGAGCCCAAAAAAATCATCCTGATGCCCTCTGGATTCTTGGTTGGATGGGTATTCAAGTCAACATCAAATAGGTTAGTAAAGGAAAAGCAACCAATTTAATGATGTAGGTATGAATATTGCAAATGTTGTAAATTATAAGCAAGACTTGAGCAGATCAGAATTATTTATCCAGCGTTTTGTGAACTGGGGCACCACGGACGTAGAAGGGAAGATTTCTTATTATAGATGAGAAAGTGACCTCATCATTGCTCTGAGAATATAGAGGAATTTCTTGGAGAAAAATATTTATTGATAAATGCAGAACTGGGTGAAACCCCGAAGCTACAATGTTTCAGGTCATAAAGGGGGAAGCAACGAGTGCTCCTTCAATTAGGAAAAGGGCCGTTTAGGATTGACAAAATTTTCTCAGATTATGGAAGGGCGAAGGATTTAGGCAAGCACATAAGCTTTATCTGCTTTTCAGGGCTGTCACGAAACTTAAGGTGAAACAATCTACATTCTTTATGGAATGGAAATACACCTGAGGTTCATAGGGCCTCACTTGACGTCTCATTCCCACATCTATTATGGGCCTACGGGGAAATGTTATCTGACCATTTTGGGGAGACTGAATTCAAAATATCATATGAGGCTTTAAAGAGGGAGGGACAAGAACTACATTTAAAGTCCAAAGGTCTGAGTTACACTGGAAGAGTGGAATTGGCAAACTCTAGCAGAATAGAGAGTACAGATCTTTGTCTGAGTATCATATATTCAGCCTGGTGCAATTAAGGACACAAATAAAAGTACTAGGCAAATGTTGACTTCTGCCAGCTATATGTTAAGATCTTGGACTTGTTTTATAAGTCTTGTAAGGAACTTGTTTTACAGAAACCTACTGGACAACCAATCATGCACTTTGGAGTTATCCAGCCCTCTCTGGTGCCACATGTTGAGTTCCTGAAACTCTTTGCTGACTTGCACGTTTTCTTGAAAGAACTAAGGTCCCTTTTCCAGGCACTAGCGCGCACCCTGCCTTATAAAAACCCAAAGCTCCCCTTCCTTTCCTCAGGGTGGTGGTTTTGAGCTTGGGTTCTTCTGACCTCAATGGCACTATCTCTATACAAAAACACCCCCTTTCAAACCTGTGGTGCTCAGTATACAGTCCTGTGTCCATGTGCATGAACCACATTCAGTAACAATATGAGGAGCAATCACATCTTCGAGATCCAGGATCTGCCTATGCAAACAGTTTGATAATTCCCTCTTCCAAGATATTGTGTATGAAGTATATATGGCATACAACACAATTTTTGGCATAGTTTATGGATTTAGTGAATGAGATTTTTTATTGCTATAGTCATTGATCCCAAGTACGATGATTTTATGTGTGTAGATGTGTGTGTGAGCATTTCCTAAATCAAGTTTTCTCAGAACAAAAAGTACTCTAGGGCATGGTACCTGAAATCAAACAAAAATGTTCTTAAGCAAGTGTAATGCCCCTGATTGTATGTTCATTTGGGTGTGGGGATCTGCTATAATACAAATGTCCCAGAATTTGAAGCAATGACCAACTCCTTGCCTTTCTACATCTTTTGAAGGGGCTCAGTATATGACACTTGGAACATTATTTTGGTCAAAAGCGCTGAGAAACATTAGGTACAGGGAGGACACCTGGAGCCCTCAATGTGCACAGAAAGCTGGTGATAAATCTCCCAGGTGAAAGGTAGCCTTCCTATACCAGGAGTGTAGAAGGCATTCCCACCACTTGTGACAACAATTTAGGCACCAGAAAGCTTACAAATAAACCTTGTTAAATCTTCACCATTTCCCAGTCCCCTACATAAACCCTTCTACCATGTTTATTTTCCACACACACACATATATTTATTTCACAAATCCCTGTTTTCTGCTTTACTCACTTCTTTAAGTCTAATCTCTGCGGGGTTTCAATATTTAGGTAATCATGTTTTTCATATATATACTTGTCATGGGGAGGGTGGTCCCTCGCCAAGAACATGGGTATAAATAGAAATCATTTTCCCATTTGACAAAATTGTTTGCCAAATTACACTCAATATTTCTTACTTAAACTTTCCTTAGAATGAATGGGCTCTGGATTTCCTAGACTAAGAGAGAGTGCCAGCCTAATGAATACTGAGCTATTCTCAAGGAAGTACCATCTATATGTCTCTGACATTCATTCTGAGATGATGTCTAAAAATCATCAAATTTATTTTTTTTTCATTTCTTTCATTCATTCACTCATTTACATCATAGTTCATTTTAACACATTTACTTCCCCCCTCAGGTGTAGATACCATAGAATTTCCTTCCCAATTTGCCCTGTACCAACACCTGGCACTCTTCCCTCCCTCCTTCTGATCCCTCTCTCCTCTCTTCTGGCTTAAAATTGTTTTTGCTTTGTTGTGTTGTATTTTCTATTGTTGTTATTTCCCCCTATGTGTTATTTGATTCCCCTATATCCCTCCTATAAGTGAAGCCATCCGATATTTTTCTTTTTTAGTCTGACTTACTTCACTGACCAAAAGTCATCAAATTTATATAGTGTTTAATTGTACCAGGAGAGCTCACTTTTCTGTTGAAGGGAGAATTTAATTTTAGTTTTTTATGCAACAAAAGGAACAGCTAACACCAGTTTTCTATCCTAGGTTTTTGGGTTTCAACTCTGAGACAAATTACAACCAAAACTGGTCCCTGATCGCTCCATCAATTAAATGGAAAATTAACTCCCACGTATCACTTCCCATTTTTCAAAGCCAAAAACCAGCCCATACCTAAGTAAAGCAACACTTTGACAGTCTTTGGACTGTTTACTTACAACTATTCACACCATCCTTTTGGTTGTCCTCTACATTCTAGAAGATCCCACCACTGCCCTAATAGGCAGTTGCCATTAAAACCAGCTTGCTGGCAGTACAGCAATGCTTTCCAGAGATAAAGGTGTCCAATTAAGATTTTAGAAATAAATGAGATCAAGATCATGAGGTTTACTTTATTAAGATATATTTATTAAGCATTTGAAAGAGTTTAGCAATACAGGCAATTTTATTATTTTTTTCATAACAAAGAAGAAAGCAAAGATTTCATTATGCTTGGAATTTTCACCTGTATTTTCTCTATTGGTCCCAACAAAATGTAGCAAAGTTGTTGTACAATTCCAATAAATGCCTGTGACAATGCATGCTATCTTAATCAACAGGACAATAAAAGATGTATGTTTCAAATTTTGTTATACAAAACCACAAAGTTCTTACAATTAAACTCACTAGAACATTAAATGATAATGCTCATCCATACATCTGAAAATTTTAAGACGAATGAATTTGTATAACATGGAACCAAAGAGTGGTAGAATAAAACTTCAAAAATGGGAATACATAGGCATATATGTTTTGTGCCTTTCAGCACACCTCACAATTAAATTTTACGAACACGAACTGTTTCTTAGAACAACACGTGAAGAAATTATCCTTGAATTACTTAGGTGTGCGAGTAGCTGCTATAATTGGCAGCGGCCAGGAGAGGAGACTCAGCCCTGGATAAAATATTGCCCTCAGCTCTCTCCTTTTCATCCTGCAAGGCTTCCTCATACTGAGATGGGAAAGAACTTGGGTCAGTCCCATGAACCTTAGCCAGGAATTCAAGAACTTTCAATTTAGTGGTTTCCGCGTGAGCTCTTGGGCCCCACATGAATTCAAATTGTGGAGGATCGCTATTTTCCACCTGCTGGTACACCAAGTAATTTTCTTTCACGAAATCTTCAGTGATGAGTTGTCTAGGTTCCCCGAACACGAAGTGCCTCACTCCTGAATAAATGCCGGTTAAATTCAGAACTTCCCAAACTTCTGCTTCAGTAGCTCGGTTACCTTTCATGAAGATGACTCCAAGGATGAGAATCAGGATGCCGGTCTTGGGCACGCCTTCTTCATCACTCATCATCCCATCATAGGTGAGGCCCAATTTGATGAGCAGGACATAGTGGTGGTTGGTTGGATCCACTTCTTGCACATCAAGGCCAAAGATCATCTCCATGCGCTCGGAGGCTCTCAGCAGGATTTCAGTGAAGTTGTTTTCATATCCTTTGATGACTGTCTTCAAAATATCTTCCTTGGTTATTGACTCTTTTGTTTGATACTTGAGCAGCATGAAATTCACCAACATTGCTACTTTCTCTTCTAGATCATCAATGGGCACACACTTGACGGCCGGCTCAGCCTGTGAGGTGCTGGGAGTATCAGCTTTCTCTTGGCCCTCCCCTGACTTCGCAGCAAAGATGGATAAGGTGGTAAAGGGAGGAAAATTGAAATCCTCAGTATCCTCAACAATAGTGATCAGACTAGATTCAGGAACTTTCTTTGAACTGGCAGGTGCCAGCGGATGAGAAGAGATAGAGGTCTTCTCCAGGGTCTTGGAAACCTGTGAAACATCCGGGCACCGAGCCTTACTGATATGAATACGTAGCTTATTTTCTGGGCCTGGGCCTCGCGTGTTCTTATGATGGCGAGGCATGGCGCCTCTAGCAGCCGTAGGCCGAAGTACGGACCCGACAGACGGCTGATAATAAGGAATCACTGCCTATGGGAAAGAAGTCAGATATGAATAGCCTCAGTCATTAAGTCGACTATGGCAGTTCTAACAAAAGCTGCCTCCAGGGGTCTTCTGACAACTGTGCTAAGGACCTCATAGGTCTCCTGACCTGATTTCTCTGTCCCCTAAGAATATAATTAAGGATGACGTATGCTTCTGGGAGAGTCATTAAACCCAATCTTAGAATACTCAGGGATCACAATGGGTGTAAATTATTGGGCTGTGTGAATACTGACAGAAACTGGACCTTCCTTTTTGCTGACCTCATGTGACACAGGCACATATATCAGGACTTAACCTGACTAAAAGGCTCAGGAAGGAAGAGCAGATAGTTGTGTGCGATTGTGGGGCACAGATTTTCCGTCTGATAATGTATCCAGGCTTTCTAATGAGCCCAGTTGTGGTAGATTGCTTACGCAGTCCTTCATGTCTCCCATAGAATTTTGCAGTCTGTGAATTCTCTGTGAATCAGGACTTGTCCCTTACAGACTAAAACTGCCACCCCTCCTCCCAGGGTCCCAGTGTATGAAGTCAGCTGGTGAGATATTTGGCCATTTTTGTCTGGCACCTCTCACTCTAAGACTAAAGAAGCTGGGCAGGTATCATTGGGTCCCATAAATGCTGGAGTCAGTGGTCAATTCTGCCAAGTCGAGAACTACACCTTAGGGTTAAAAAAAAAAAAAAAAAAGAGTGTCATACACTCTTCCTCTCTGCTGAGCTGAAGATGCTCCCTTGTATTACTGAATTAGTTCCTGTGACCACTCAGGACAACTAATGGGGTGTCACATCCTGAATTTTCCAAGTGTGATGGCAGGGAGGAGCTCTGCTGAGATAGTTTATTTCTGCTTTGGGTGTCTCCATCAGCCTCAGGTAATTAAGGTCCCTCCCCTGACTAGTGGTAGGATCTCGCATCTGCTATTAAAAAAAAATTGTTATTTTTTTGACAATATGGATGCCTGTAAAGGATATTACGGTAAGTGAAAGAACTTCAGATGCAGGAAGAAAAATACCTCATGACTACACTCATATATTGAAATTAAATAAACCAAACAAGATTAAAAGAATAAAATGATGGTTACCAGAGCAGAAAGAAAGTGGGAGAGGCAATAAGTCAGGTAAAGTGGGTCAGTTCTATGGTACTAGATGGAAACCTAGACTTTTGGTGGTGAGCATAGCATAACATATATATTCAGGTGTTGAATTATATTGTACATCTAAAGCTTACACAGTGTTATAAACCAATAACCAATGTTGATTTTTTTTTTAAAGCAGGAAAAAAAGGAGGACAGGGAAGAAATTCAGGTAATGCCATTCCTGAATACGGGGTCCAGATGGTGCTGTCTTGGGGCCTTCACTTGAATCCTGGAAGGGCCTGGAACCAATTTCAAGTTGAATTTAGTGGCTCAAAACTGACACCACTCTCCAATGAATACCATGGAGGTGGCTGGGTGTCTCCTCTGGCTAACTCTATTCTGGACTTCTGAAGGGTTCTCCATGACGTGTCAGATCACTTTTGTGCAGTGATTTTGCTCTTCAAACATATCTCAATGATGGCTATAAGGGCCAGGAATTCCTTCTAGTTATTTAACATATTTTATTTGTAATAAAAGCTTTCACCTTCCTCTGAAGCTCAAAGAGGAATTCCCTGTTCTTGCCATCTCTTTCCTAGTCCCTCTTGTCGACAGTTGGCTATTCACAATATTCACTAGATCACTTTAAATCAGATACTGCATTCGCCAGTCTATTAACTAAGGTCCTAACTTCCAACTGAGCCCCATCTTTCTAAGACGCCAAAAGAGGAATTGAGGGGATGGTCCATGGACAAGACATCCAACGCTGAATAAAGGGGCTAGACAGTGTCACAACCTCTGTCCTGGGATGGGGGAACTATCTATTCACTGGGTCTGGGACTCCAGTTCTTTGCTGACCTGCTAGCCCCTGCCTCCAACAAAGACTATTTCCTTTGAACTCCAATTGTAGTGGTTAGCAACACTTGAGTCCACCATTGCCCCTGGTTGCTATGAGCGGATAGAGCCTCTGAGTGGTACCCTCTTGTCCACAGTTGGTTATTCACAATATTCATAAGAACTCTTTAAATTGGATACTGCATTCGCTGGTCTGTTAACTAAGGCCCTAACTCCCAATTAAGCCCCATTTTTCTAAGACATCAACAGAGGATGTGAGGGAATGGTCCATGGACAGGACATCCAATGCTGAATAAAGGGGCTACACAGTGTCACAACCTCTGTCCTGGGATGGGGAAACTATCTATTCACTGGGTCTGGGACTCCAGTTCTTTGCTGACATGCTAGCCCCTGCCTCCAACTAAGACTTTATTTCCTTTAAACTCCAGCTATAGTGCTTAGCAACACTTGAGGCCACCATTGCTCCCAGTTGCTGTGAACTGATAGAGCTGTGGATGCTCAGAGTTTGCCACTAATATGGTTTGGGTGTTTCCTCAGTACTCTCTCTGTGGCATTTCATGACCACTGGTAGGATATCCTCCTCTTCTATGCCTCCCCACAATCAGGTCAACAAAGAGAAAGTGGGGGAAAGGTTAGTCTGACGGCGCATTCCTACCCAGACCTCCCACTTGGGACTGGGGCTCAGATCTAGGTAACTGGCTCTTTTATATAGTTAAAAGTCTCCTCAGTGCTCATTTAGGGTCTTACCTGACTCCAAGTGGCACCTGCGACTCCTCCCTGTCGGACGTGAGACCACACACCTCCGAGAGCGCGACGGCCTCTTTGTCCTCAATATGGCCGATAGGTATCCAGGGAACGTAACATTCGGTTACCAAGGACAGGAATCTTCAGCGGCCAATAGCGAGGAGTGGGGCTTTGCACACGTCTCTGTTACTCAGTGGGAGATTCTTGGTGGTCTCAAGTGACATTTTTCACACTGACTGTGTCAGCTTCCTGAATTCTTCCCACTGAGCCTAGGTTGTGTCTCATGTGCCAAGGTCTCTAGTCTTTGAGAACCCTCAGAGTGATGAAAGGATTCATTCCCTAGCCAGAGAGGCTTGGCTTCAAACCCCTTTATTTTGACATTTTGGCAGTATAATATTTTTTAACCACTATTTATAATAAACACACACACACTATGTTAAGCAGTATCTATCAAAAGATATGTTTTTGTGTATATACAAATATATATACATGTATATGTAAGTATGTATAGTACCTCAAAAATTTCATTGAAGAATACTAGTCCTTAGTATGTGTGATTAACTATACTATTCTTTATTCCATTTCTAATCCATTTTTATATTCTATCAAAAGAATAATAACAATGAAAATAAGGTCAGTTGCACCCACTAAAACATAGTAGGGGCTTACTATACTATGTAAGGGGAGTCAAACTGTCTCAAGCAACCCAAACTTCTATTACTATTATTATTGTTATTTATTATTATTATTATTTAGATAACATTGTCTTACTGTACTGTCTATGACTCAGAGGAATAGGATCACAACTTCTCAGCTGTATTTCAACACATCAAACCTACCACCATGTTATCTTTGGGCCCCCCTCTCCCATGCTTTCCAGGAAGGACTCTTGATACTTGAAGCCAAATATTGTTTGAGGTGATGCCCTAGACTCCTGCAGAAGACTTTCAAATGGTCGACCTGTCTTATCTTGATATCAGTCTTATATCATTCTTACTTACAGAGTAACTTCACAGCATACCCCTCCCTTCCATTGTGAAAAATTCTTACACCTGACTTTAAATCTGTAAATTCAAACATCTCTATGTTCAACTTAATCAAAATGAAAATATTTTTTCACTGTGGAAAACACAGATAATAAAAGGAAGGTTGTTCCCTATATAATAAAGAATTCTATAAAATAAACAGCAACAGAGTCCAATTAGAAAATTGACATAACCTCTCTCTCTCTCCCTCTCCATCCTCTTCTAATTCGCCATGTAAATAAACATTTAAAAATTAAAAATAAAATTGGCATAACACTTGAATACATGCTTTACTAAAGTGGACAGGCAGGTAGAAGATAAACAACTGAAAATATGCTGAACATCAATATCCTTCAAGGAGCTACAAATTTAAATCCTTATGAGATGGCATGACATGTCTATGAAACGACTAAAAACTAAATAGACCAAGTTTTTGTGAGGTTGTGAACTAAGTGGATCTCTCAAATAGTAGTTATGGGAATGCAAAATGGCCTGGGATTTCTATAAAGCCATCTGGAAGTTTCTAATTATGCTAACTTAAAATTATGTTTGAACAGGATCCTACTGTATATTTTCCTAGAAAAATGGATACTTATGTTCACACAAAGAAGTACATAGCAGACTTATTTGTAACAGTCAAAAACTGAAGGCAAACTAAATGTCCTTCAATGAGTAAATGGATAGAAGATTATGGTCCAGGCAATGGAATACTATACAACAATAAATAAGAACATGCCAGTGATACCCGCTATCACTTGGGTCAATCTTCAGATCACAATAGTGAGTAAAAACAAACAACAGCACAAAGTAACCTTAAAGGTTAACATTATCTACTATATAATTCTATTTATATAAAATTCTCCAAAGGGCAAAATATTCTAGCATATGTGTTTTGTGTTAACTGCAGCTTTCCAATTCTAGCTTGAATTTGAATACATTTGAAAATGTCTGTTTGTTCTTCTGAGGTATTTATAGGCTACCATAGTTTGGATTTACTTATGATGTATACATCCTCTACTTATGCTGAAAAGGGAATCGCAGGGACAAGATTTATCCATTGCCTGAAAGAATTAAAAAAAAAATCACATAGACAAAATGTGTGGCAGTAATATTCAATATATTGGTAAACAGACTATGAAAGACAGTGATAGCTGACAGATGGAAAACAAATTACCACAGCTTGCTGCCTGGAGTCCAGGCAGAGCCTGAGTTGTGTCTGAGTTGTTGA